ATTGTAGTTTCGACTTGAATTTTCCTGATGGCCAGGAATGTTGAGTGTCTTTTCGTGTGGTTATTGGGCATTTTCTTTTAAAGAGAAAAAACTGTTCTGTTCAGTTAGTTACTTTGCCTATTTTTTTTTTTTTTAGACAGAGTCTCACTCTGTCACCCAGGCTGGAGATCTATGGCGTGATCTCGGCTCATTGCAACCTCTGCCTCCTGCATTCAAGCGATTCACCTGCCTCAGCCTCCTGAGTAGCTGGGATTACAGGCATGTGCCACCATGCCTGGCTAATTTTGTATTTTTAGTAGAGACGGGGTTTTTCCATATTGGTCAGGCTGGTTTTGAACTCCTGACCTTAGGTGGTCAGCCTGCCTTGGCCTCCCAAAGTGCTGGAATTACAGGCATGAGCCACTGCGCCCGGCCTACTTTGCCTGTGTTTTAATTAGACTGTTTGTCTTATTTTTTTATTTTATTTTACCTTATTTTTGAGACAGTCTTGCTCTGTAGCCCAGGTTGGAGTACAGTGGCACATTCTTGGCTTACTGCAACTTCTGCCTCATAGGTTCAAGTGATCCTCTCACCTTAGCCTCCCAAGTAGCTGAGACTACAGGTGCGCATCCCCACGCCTAGCTAACTTTTGTATTTTTAGTAGAGGAGGGATTTTGCCGTATTGTCCAGGCTGATCTCAAACTCCTGGGCTTGAGTGATTCTCCCACCTTGGCCTCCCAAAGTGCTATGGTTACAGATGTGAGCCACCATGCCTGGCCTATTTGTCTTTTTAATGTTGAGTTGTAAGAGTTCTTTATGTGTTCTGGATACAAGTCCCTAATCAGATTTGCAAATTTTTTTCCCATTCTGTGGGTTGTCTTTTTACTTTCTTGATGGTGTTCTTTGTAGCACAAAAGTGACTTAAATTTTGATAGACTCTATCAATATAGTTAATCTGTATTTTCTAATGTTGATCGTTCTTTTGGTGTTTAAGAAGTCATTGTCAGCTGGGCGCAGTGGCTCAAGCCTGTAATCCCAGCACTTTGGGAGGCCGAGACGGGCGGATCACGAGGTCAGGAGATCGAGACCATCCTGGCTAACACGGTGAAATCCCGTCTCTACTAAAAAATACAAAAAAAATCTAGCCAGGCGAGGTGGCGGGCACCTGTAGTCCCAGCTACTCGGGAGGCTGAGGCAGGAGAATGGCGTGGACCCAGGAGGCGGAGCTTGCAGTGAGCTGAGATCCGGCCACTGCACTCCAGCCTGGGCGACAGAGCGAGACTCCGTCTCAAAAAAAAAAAAAAGAAGTCATTGTCTAGTCCAAGGCCTCTGTTTTCTTCTATATTTTTAGGTGTTTGATCCTTTGTGAGTTAGTTTCTTTTTTTTTTTTTTTTTTTTGAGACGGAGTCTCGCTCTGTTGCCCAGGCTGGAGTGCAGTGGCCGGATCTCAGCTCACTGCAAGCTCCGCCTCCCGGGTTCACGCCATTCTCCGGCCTCAGCCTCCCGAGTAGCTGGGACTACAGGCGCCCGCCACCTCGCCTGGCTAGATTTTTTTGTATTTTTTAGTAGAGACGGGATTTCACCGTGTTAGCCAGGATGGTCTCGATCTCCTGACCTCGTGATCCGCCCGTCTCGGCCTCCCAAAGTGCTGGGATTACAGGCTTGAGCCACCGCGCCCGGCCTGTGAGTTAGTTTCTACATATGGTGTGAGTTCCAGGTCCATATTCATGCTTTTTCATGTGGCTATTCAGTTGTCGCAGCTCTATTTGTTGAAAAGAAGAATCTTTCTGCATTTTTCTTGGCACCTTTGTCGAAAATCAGTTATTAATAATCATAAAGGTGAATGTTTGTTTATTTCTGGACTCTCAGTTCTTTTCCATTGATCATCTATGTGTCTGTCTCTAAAATTGGGAAGTGTGAGTTTTCCAGCTGTATTATTTTCTTTTTCATGATTTGTATGACTATTCTGTGTTCTTGAATTTCTATATGATTTTAGGATCAGCTTGTCAATTTCTGCAAAGAAGCCAGGTGAAATTTTGGTGAGGATTGCTTTAAATGTATGGAAGAATTGGGGAGCATTGCCATATTAACAATATTAAATCTTCTAGTCAATGAATATGGGATGTCTTTAGACTTATTTAGTTCAATTTTTATTCCATTTTCTTCATGGCACCTTTTATTTGCATCAGATATTATAAAGTCGATGAATTCACATTCTTTTTTTTCATTTTATTTATTTATTTTTTTGAGACAGAGTCTCGCTCTGTTGCCCAAGCTAGAGTGCAGTGGCATGATCTCGGCTCATTGTAGCTTCCACCTCCCAGGTTCAAGCGATTGTCCTGCCTCAGTCTCCCAAGTGTCAGGGACTACAGGCGCACAGCACCACGGCCTGTCAAATTTTTTTTCTTTTTTTTCTTTTTTTTTTTTTTTTGAGATGGAGTCTCATTCTGTCTCCCAGGCTGGAATGCAGTGGCGCGATCTCATCTCACTGCAACCTCTGCCTCCTGGGTTCAAGCAATTGTCCCTGCCTCAGCCCCCTAAGTAGCTGGGATTATAGGTGCCTGCCATCATGCCTGGATAATTTTTATAGTTTTTAGAGGTAGGGTTTCGCCATGTTGGCCAGGCTGGTCTCGAATTCCTGACCTTAGGTGATCCGCCCGCCTCGGCCTCCCAAAGTGCTGGGATTACAGGCATGAGCCCCAATGCCCAGCCATGAACTCATATTCTTGGACATAATCTTTGTCATCCTTTGTAATCATTTCTGGTTGAGGTATGGCATTTTTCTTTATTCTTGGCACATTAAATATCCTCTGAGACTTTCTTTTGAACCATTGTATTTTTAAAAACATTTATTGTAGAGATGGGATCTTGCTACATTGCTCAAGATGGTCTCAAACCCCTAGGCTCAACTGATCCTCGCCACTTGGCCTCCCAAAGTGTGAGGATTTCAGGCGTGAGGCATCATGCCTAGCCTGAATCATTATATCTTTATGATCATTCATATTCGCCCTAAGGCTGTATAACATAATGATTTCCTCCATTATAGTCTGCAGAAATTCCAAGTCAGAAGTATTTGTTGTGGAACTTTCCTCCATCTCTAGTGCAGCTGTGGTTGGCTCCCATTTCCAATTGGCTGTTTGGTTGGACCTCTTCTATGTCTTTTAGCCTCTCTATTATTCTCTGTCACTATTGCTCTGGACTATCTTCTGTATAATTTCCTTTGATCTATATTCCCATTTACTAGTACTCTCTTCAGACATGTTTGATCTACTGTTTAATTTATCCATTGAATTTGAAACTTCAATTTTTTTTGTTTTGAGAAATCTTGTTGGTTTTTTTCAAATCTGTTTGGTTAAATGGTTTCTTGTTCTTGCTTATGTTTTCCTTCTTTTTTTCTTTCCTTTTTTTTTTCGAGACAGCGTCTCACTCTGTTGCCCAGGTTGGAGTGCAGTGGTGTGATCACGCTTACTGCAGGCTCAAATTCTTGGGTTCAAGTGACCCTCCCACCTCAGCCTCCCAGGTAGCTGGGACTACAGGCATGCACCACCATGCCTGGCTTATTTTAAAACTTTTTTTTTTTTTTTTTTAGAGATGGGGTCTTGCTGTGTTGTCCAGGCTGGTCTTGAACTCCTGGCAACAAACAATCCTCCCCACCAGCCTCCTAAAGCGCTAGGATTACAAGTGTGCACCCCCACGCCCTGCCTTCCTTTTCTATGTTTTCAAGTTTCACTTTTATTTCCCTTAACATATTAATCATTCTGATCTTTTTTGTCCTAAAAGTAACAATTCCATTATCTTTAGTTTTTCAGCTCTGCATCTCTTGGCTGTTTCTGCTGTTTCCCATTTATTCTGCCTAGTTTCCTAGTATGTTTTATGAAGTTTGACTATTTTGCTTTTTTTTCTTTTTTTCTTTTTTTTGAGACAGTCTCACTCTGTCATCCAGGCTGGCGTGCAGTGGTGCAATATCGGCTCACTGCAACCTCCGCCTCCCAGGTTCAAGTGATTCTCCTTCCTCAGCCTCCCGAGTAGCTGGGACGAGCTTCTCCTTTTTATGGTAACTTTATCTGTTGGAATTCTGTACAGCCTTGATTGATATTGTAATCTTCCAGGGAGGAATTTCACTTGTGTCTGCCAGTAGCCTGGAGACCCAACCTGGATTAGCTTTAGAACATATTTATCTTAGATTTTTCAGACCACATAGATAGTGTGAGTTTAGATTGCAAATTCTAGTGAGGGGGTTATGATTTCTTGGGGCAAATTTTCCCTCTCTGCACAGCATTGAGTAGAGACAGACACATTTCCTTCTGTTTTGGTTTCTTTCTTAAACACTGAAGTTGTAGCCTTATGTGTGGTCCCTAGCTTTATGTGGCAGTATCCTGTTAGACTTCCCATTTTGGGCAGGCCCTAGACTTTGCCATTTTGTACAGTAGTGTCCTCTGTGTGTACTATTCTACAAAAATACTGTACCCTGTGTTGCTGTCCGTGTAGAAGGTCAAGGTTTCTAGGATTTGGCGAGAATGCTTAGATTTCTCATATGTCCCCTAGAATTCCAGTTTCACTTTCCTTCCTTCCTTCCCTCCCTCCCTCCCTACCTCCCTCCCTCCCTCCCTCCCTCCCTCCTTCCTTCCTTCCTTCCTTCCTTCTTGCCCTCTGGATTTATGCTAGCTTGGCAATAACTTTTACAAGGTTTTCAGTTTTTAATATTTTACCCAGCATCATAGTGGTCTCAATTGTAGAATCTGTTCAGGGAATCTAATTTCCCATGGTGTCAGCATTGGATCTATAGCATTGCATAATTAACATCGTTGTAATTACTGTGTGTACATTTACTCGCTTTGTTCTTTGTATTTTTATGTATAAATTTCCTTCTAGTTATTTTGACCATGCTGTCATGTTTTATGGTCGTACCATAGTTTACGCAGTTACTTTTGTATTTGTTTGTTTTTAACTTTATGATTTAGATAGTGCTACTAGGTAGCTGTATCTGTCAACTTAAAAGTCGTGTTTTTTTCTTCCCGTAGGTCGAATTGACATAAAACAGTTGATAGCAAAGAAGATAAAGTTGACAGCAGAGGCAGAGGCAAGTAACTCCCTCTTCTAGAAACAAAAATGTAGAGTTTTAGATAGAGTTTTGTTTGGTAACATTTTTAATGCTAAATTGCTCAGATAATTATTTAAGCAATTCATCAGTTGCCATTATCCTGTGGAACAAGAAAATAAGATCGGCTGACTTGTCATCCTGCATAAGGATCCAGATTGCCTTTTTCTCTCCCATCTCTATCACTGGCATTTTCTGGCACTTACCAGCAAATCTTGGTTTTAGTGACCCATGGTTAATAGTTGGTAAGTTGATAGGATTGAATGTCTTTATTAGTGCTTTATGAAAGTATCTGTCATGGTTCACAGTAAATAGCAGCCTTCCAATAAATGTTGAATCTGAATCTAGAAGTAGATTCCCTGTCGAGGAAATAGAAATAACCACTCGAAAAAAAAAAAATCATGAAATCATTTCAAGTGGGGATAAATAGTTCTACAAACCAGAATTCCTCAGTACCCTCAGGAAATTGTAGAGGGCAAAGAACTTTTTTTTGAAAAAACGTTATGATCCAATACCTGGATGTAAGTTGACTTAAAATCCAAAGCAAACTCCTGTTTTCCCAAGGAGAAGATCACTTCCAAAATTTATTGGCCAGTTTGACTGTATAAACATCTAGTGATAAAGATGAAGTAGCCCTGTTTATTTAGTTACGTGCATATGTACATATACATTTATAGAATAATCTCAATTTAGAAATATTTTTGTAATCATATTTCATGAAATGTATGCCAGATTATTTAAGCTCACTTTGATGTCAACGTCTTTGTTATTATCAGACCTAGTTTTTCAGTTATCATCCAAGGCCAGGGGCGTAGTATTTGTACTTTCATCTAATTTGTTGGCAGTCAGTACTGTTTGAGTCCAAGGATGATGCTGTCACAGCAAATTTATTAAAGAACATATTTGCTTAACATTAAGAGATCTATGCTGTCCTCCTTCCATCATCCTGTAGGCATATTTGTGATGACTACAATGTAATCCCTTATGGTACTGCTTTATAAAGTAGTACTCAAAAGATTTATTTACTGCACTTGAAATTGTGGGTATAGACTCCTAGTTAGTAGGGTGTTAAACTTTATTTTTCCTAATTCCATTAAGTTACCTGTGTAAGCCTCCAGCACTACAGTGATGAAGGTCATTTCTGGTGAATGTCTTTTCCAATTAGTGCTTTGTTTCTCCATAAGAGATTGTTTAATGATTTGTTATGCAAATTCTTATCTGATGACTAATTTATAATTTTGGCTAAAAAAATAAAAATATTTAATGTATAGACACATGCTAGTTTTTTTTTTTTTTTTTTTTTTTTTTGAGACATAGTCTCTCTCTGTCACCCTGTCTAGAGTGCAGTGGCACGATCTCGGCTCACTGCAACCTCTACCTCCTGGGTTCAAGCAATGCTCCTGCCTCAGCCTCCCAAGTAGCTGAGACTACAGGCACATGCCACCACACCTGGCTAATTTTTTGTAATTTTTAGTAGAGATGGAGTTTCTTTTATTTTTTTTTCAGCCCAGAGGTGTTTTATTTTTCTTTAACCCGTATTATGCCATGAATTCATGGGGAATAGGTTCCAGCAGCTCAGGCTTCTTCCCATTGGTTCTCACAAAGTGTGCTTCTTTGGGTGGAGCAGGCTGGCGCTTCAGTTGAACACAGGTACCTTTCTCTTTGGCTTCTTTCTTTTTCTGATCATTTTCCTTCACGCGTTTCAGGAAGCTGTCTCGGCTCTTAGAGTGCTTAATGTGCTCAGTATGCACATCAATTCTCTTGGCAAGAATCTTGCCCTTAACTTGTTTGTTTACAACAATGCCAACAGCATGCTGACTGTGGACAACAATGCCAACAGCATGCTGGGTGTAGACATTGTAGACTCCTTCAGTTTTGCCATGGTAACACTTGTGGGGCATTCCTTTTTGAACAGTACCCATTCCCTTGATGTCTACAACATCACCTTTCTTTTTTTTTTTTTTGAGACAGAGTCTCGCTCTGTCGCCCAGGCTGGAGTGCAGTGGCGCAATCTCGGCTCACTGCAAGCTCCGCCTCCCGGGTTCATGCCATTCTCCTGCCTCAGCCTCCTGAGTAGCTGGGACTACAGGCGCCCGCCACCGCACCCGGCTAATTTTTTTTTGTATTTTTAGTAGAAACGGGGTTTCACCGTGGTCTCGATCTCCTGACCTTGTGATCCGCCCGCCTCGGCCTCCCAAAGTGCTGGGATTACAGGCGTGAGCCACCGCGCCCGGCAACATCACCTTTCTTATAGATTCACATATACGTGGCCAAAGGAGCAACTCCATGTTTTCTAAAAGGCCTAGAGAACATACATCGGGTGCCTCTCCTCTTTCCCTTTGTGTTCGACATTTTGGTGAATTACTGGAAGATGGTGGTTCCGGCCTAAAGGGCGAGATGGGGTTTCACTGCATTAGCCAGGATGGTCCCAATCTCCTGACCTCGTGATCCGCCTGCCTCGGCCTCCCAAAGTGCTGGGATTACAGGCATGAGCCACCACACTCGGCCTAAAATAAATTTTGTTTTTGTGGTTTACTAGAGTGTTTCTGACCCTTCTTATTTCTCTAGTCAGGCAGGATACCTACATTTTTGTTATTCCCTTTTCAATTCTTCCTTTGTCCTCTTTTGTTCCTGCCCTTCTTATCAAGATCACAAAACCTTATTATGTTCTATTTGTGACGGAAAGTTTCAAATAGGTGAAAAGTAAGTCTGTCTCTGCTGTCATTCCTCTATTGAAAAATCTAAAGTGGGAGGAGAACTTTTTCCCATACAGAATCACAAACCCAAAGGCGAGAGGGAGTTTGGGGTAGAAAGTAGAGATTTTAGGGAAAAGGGGTAGAAAGGGGTGGCAGGAAGAGAGATAATGGGAGGATATTCCAAGGATTTAAGTTAAAACTTTTAAAAGAATATTCTACTTGTCTGCTTTATATATTAATAAGATTATGAAATCTTTTAGCTTGGTCACTTAGGAGGATTAGAAGAAGAAAGTAATGAATGAAGTAAGGGAAAAGCTGAAAGAAAGGCGGACCTTGGTTTAGCTTGTATTAATATGTGTATTGTGCAAGTGACATAAGGGTTGCAGAGTTGTACAAGACTTGTTCCCTGATGTTAAGGGAAGTACTGGCCGGAACAAAGGTAATGGTGTTAGAAAACTTACACTGTACATATTTTAGGGCACTTAATGGGCATCTGTGTCTCTATTGGGGCACAATGGCAAGAAAAAGTTGAAAAATTGAGGCTAGATTATAAAGCATTTTTTCTCAACTTTTATGCCCTCATTCATGTAGCTCTTTCTATCTGAAATTCCTTCTTTCTCCATCCACCAATCAAAATAATGTATATCCTTCAAATTTTAGGTCAAATCTTGCTGTTTCTACAGTTTTCTGAATATTCCAGTTGAAATGATGTCCTCTCTACTCTATATTCCTAACTACTTAGTTTATACCCCTGCTATATACTCTATATGTATTAGACCGTACATTATTCTGAATGAGTCACCAAATGTCATTTGGTGAACTTTAGGTGATTTGACTTAGAAGTTTCAAAATTGTCAATTATTTGCTGTCTAATGAGATTGGCTATTTTACCATTGTTTATTAATCATAATTTTTTTTTCTTTTTCTTTTTTTTTTTTTTGAGACAGAGTTTTCACTGTGTTGTCCAGGCTGGAGTGCAGTGATGCAATCTCTGCTCACTGCAACCTCCGCCTCCTGGATTCAAGTGATTCTCCTGCCTAAGCCTCCCCAGCTGCTGGGATTACGGGCATGTGCCACCATGCCTGGCTAATTTTTGTATTTTTAGTAGAGGCGGCCTTTCACCATGTTGGCCAGACTGATATTGAAACTCCTGACCTCAAATGATTCACCTACCTCGGCCTCCCAAAGTGCAGGGATTACAGGCGTGAGCCACTGCACCCAGCCAATTGCAATGTTTTTGAACAAGATATAGTAGGACTACTGTTCTGATGTGAAAGTTCAGGATGGCATATAGAGTTTGGAGACAGTCAGAATTGATAGGGAGCTGTTGTAATATTTTAGTATTTTAGACTGAGGAAACAGATGAGCCAGTAGGAGAAGGGAACTATATTTAGAAGTCCTCTTACAGGCTAAGCTTTTATACTACGTACTTTATATACATAATTTTACTTAAATCATCCCATTTATAAGAGATCTCTAATTGCTCACATTTTTTTAGTTGTTGCTTTATTGGTTGACATTTACTAACATGGAAGGACTTGAGATAATAAGTATGTGAACATTGTTCAGAGCCATGAACTTGGTTTGTTTTTTTCACATACTAATTCCTTTTCTGTTGTGGGTTTTTACAAATAATTTTTAAAAAATGAAAGTTAGGAATCTTTCTGGTCATTTGTAATTTGTGTCATGTTCCTCCCGGTTGTCACTTCATCTTTCCTTGATCTTTAAAGTGAGAGCATTGCACTAGTTGTCTCCAAGGTCCCTTTTAGCTCTAAAGGTTTATGTCATAATTGTGTAGCTGACTAAAGCTTTTTCAGAATTCACTGCTTGTTATTGTAAAGGAAATAGTCGATAAATCTCATTGACTGCTGTTTCAGCTTCTCAGAACTAGAGTTGTCAGGTAAAATACAGTATGTCCAATCGAATTTGAATTTCAGATAAACAATGAATACTTTTTTAGTAATCATGCAATATTTGAGACAGACTAAGAAGTTATTTATCTGAAATTTAAATTTAAATATAGTGTCCTATATTATTTGCCAAATTGGGCAACCAGCAAAGAACTCTGAAAAGTTAAATGTGTAGATAGAGGAGCTCTTATTAAGGACAGGCGTGAAGAAGTTCGTCAAGCATTGAGCAAACCTTTTGGTCTAAAGGGAAGAGGGGTGAGGGAAGTGATGACGTGAGTGTGTTGAAATTAGTGGTTTGAACTGACTGAATCTCTTAAGGTCTCTTCAAGGTCTAATATGGTTGTTAAAAAAAGTTTTAAGGATGTACTTTTTATCT